TTCCCCAATGAGTTACTATCAGTGATTGTTATCACCTGATCTATTTTTCATAATGTTTATAGAATTTTCTCATCAAAATCTTTGTCCTCACATTTCTAATTGTTGTATTTTTATATCCAGATTTTAATTTTTGATGAGAAACTAGATTTTACTTTCAGCATTATCATTTTTTTTTTTTTTTTTTATGGGAATGAACTTCTACTAATCAATTCAAAGCCAGAAGAGATACTGAAGGGTTGAACGGTGAGTGAGGATTCAAGCCAAAACAATAATTATAAATGCCTCACTAACAAAGCATCTAATTCTAGGAAAGCAGCTTTTCATTATCCAATACTTAAGGCAAGTTCTTTTCCAAGAATAGATCTCATTTATGTTTAATTCTTCCTTTTTTTGCTTATACGATTATACTTAATACAATTTTGGCTTCCCACAGAATTATTTGACTGCTCATATTTTTCTATTTTGAATAATGAATTTAATTTGAAATTCAATTGATTAAATTCAATTCAATGAATTTTATTAAGCTCTAATTAGACAAAAGACTTACCTGGAACATACATATGAAATTAAAAAGACAAGAACTTACTAGACGATATAGCCAACTTTCAAATCTTCTGGAGTAAAGATCTTCACTTAACTTACGAAAGAAGGGACTGATCTACAACACCTTACTGAGACCTATATGGGCATAAGGAGCAGAACTTTATGGTTTGGCTAAACAAAATACAAACAGCACAATCGAAAATTTTACGAAAAATTGTTAACGCACCTTGTTACATTTCAAATAATACTATACATAACGACTTAAACACCCCAACAGTAAAATCCTATATCCTCGGCAAATACACTACATTTCATTCTTCAAACAAAAATCACTCCAATCCTCTGGTTCTTTATATCTCCTGCTCCCTGTTATCTGAGCAACGCAGATCAAGAAGAAAACGGTCAAGAGACCTACCATATCGATAAAAACAAAATCAAGCAAATACACCAAGACAGTATAAATACAAAAAATTTGCCAGATGCGCAGCCGCGCAGATTCAAATTGCATAGAATATAAATAAATCATTTGAACAATATGGTAAAATAAATATTTACACACTAACTTTGTATTTATAAATCGTCTAGTTAAACACAAAAGTGCAATTTACTGCATCAATAATCAAAATCGTGCAATTTAAGCCCAAAACGTGCTATTTCGTGCAATATGAAATTTAAATATGTTATAATATTCGTCAAATCCTCAACGCTCCCTACTTTGTCACAAATAAAATCATCCATAACGTAGCATATGTTTCTGATTTAGCTCAATTCAGATACCTATCCACAATAAACTTCTGAACCATCTGAACCCTCTTGTTTCCAACCTTGCTTCCTCTTCTATTCCTGATAACCCTCCGAGGCGTCTGAAAAGAAGATGGCCTCGGGACCTTCTAATATAGAAATATAATTGGAGTGCTATCAATGGATAGTTTCTCTTCATGTTGTACATGTCATGTTACTTATTTAATATTTACTAGTTGTATTTATCATTTAATACTGTTGTAAATTTCAATAATAATAAAAAAAATGAATATGTTATTCTACAGGTTCTGAAATAGATATTCAGAGCTTTTACACGCAAGCGAATAAAAAGTGTAATAAAATGGAAATCCGGTCTCTAGTAATTATACTATTATCGATGTCGGAACTTGACGGATATCCAAACAACCCTAATTAATCCATGTATTCATAATATCTGTATATTCTGCTGGATCAATTCGTAATAATTAGTTTTTTTATTTTTTAAAAAAGGTTTTGTGATAAATTACATTTTTTTTTTTTTTTATAACATTCCACGTTACTGTTTAGTAGTGATCTTAAAGGATTCCTCACTCTGGAAGCCATTGCTGCCTTAGCGAAATAAAGATTCCCCGCACGAACTAACCGTGCACAATACAAGCGAATCGCTCACTCTTCGACTCATGCAAACAATGAGCATTTACATAATATTAATTTTCATGTCACATTGGGCGACAAAAGGGAAATATTCCTGGCTCATTATGATTTTCAAAGTTACGACCTTAACCAACGCTGGGATGTTTAATCTGTCGCATTTGTTTCACGTAGCCGAAACAGCTGATGGTTACGTAAAAGTTTTACTATGTAATTTATACGTCTCGTTAAGCTCTATGAATAATTTCCAACTGGTGGGATTATGGAAATGTTAATTTCCTATTTTTTAGAAAACTTCAGTTCTACATATTTTTTGAAAATCGTCTTTTAAACTGTATTATTTTCGGTTCATTTAGTATGTTAACCTGACCTTTCAAACAGCTTAAAGGTCCTTGTTCAATGTTTCGATACTGATAATATCGAATCGATATTACCAGTATTGTTATCGGTATCAAAGAGTTTTATTTATTTTAATGCTCTATGCCATTTACAGCGCGTACACATAATTTGATATAATGGTTAATTGCTAAGAATTTGCTTTCATTTTGTTGTTATTGTTGGAGGTCTCTTGGCCATTTTCTTTTTACTCTGCGTCTAGGAGGTAATAAGGATCCGGAAACAAAAAGAACTGGAGGGGATTGGAGTGATTTTGAGTTGAAGAATGAATAGAATATAGACCCATTTTTATCAAATTATTAACATCCGCCTGAAACTTTGTAAATAGCTTCATCTCATCGTAACCTACAAATATTTTATTTACGAGAATTCTCGGAATTTAGGCGGTTTCAATATCGAGGTAGACAAACATTGTCTATTTAACCATTTCCTTTCTTTTCACTTGGATCTTAAGATAATTTGATGACGAAATCGAGAAAAAAGTAGGCATTCAAAAATATTGGGCCCTTTGGCATAATCTTAACCTTTAACATATCAAAATAATGAGGTTATGTAGGCTAAACGGCCCAATATTTTTGTAGGTCACCTTTTTTTTATCGATTTTGTGATCAAATTATCCTATGATCCAAGTGGAAAGCAAATGGGTATTTATGAGTTTTTAGTATTTAATTAAATAGACAAAGTTTGGTTAAATTTTTTATCTTGCAAAGTGCAAGACCAGGACCGATTTTGGGCAACACTAAGGTTGGGCCGTTTTTGAATGCAAAAGTCAATGATAAAAGGCACTTTCAGGAGGTCTAATACGAACGCCGTATTGCTGCTTATAAATCCTGAATACAGATATACTAGCTGACCCGTGCGAACCTAATAATTGTATCTGATTTTTAATACATTAAGGGCTCAGCACAATTTCCATTCAATAACGTTTGATACATAAAGGTTAATTACATATATATTGTATGTTATATATTTATAAATAGAATTTGCAATCTGCTATGATTTAACCATAGCATTTTTTTGTACTTATAATTTAAATATTAACTTGTGCCTTCATTAGATTATCATAAATTAACAAAAACTTCTAAACATTTCTTTAAACATCTGTTGACGGCAAAAGCCTCAAATTTTTGGGAGGATTACTTAGTTCAATATAACACAGGACATGTGTTACTTTCTCATTTTTAAAAAAAAAACATGTTTTAATGATAAACTAAAATAATAAAGATCTAAAAGTAAACGCAATTGTAATCGAAGCACATTGAAAAAAAGTTACCAACAACGTTTAAAGTAAGACACATCTATATAAATCCAAATAAAATTAATATTGTTATTAATTAAAAAGAATATAATGTTTAGAAATAAAAAAAAAATCACTAATTGATACATTATATACTGTACCTCGGGAACAAAGGGCAAATTCCCAATTTGATAAATAATTACCCAGGTGCAACACAACCTTTGCAGTGTAACAAATAATAAATGTTCAGAAAGCTATAACTCTGCACCAAATTGTCCGATTTCGATAATTTTTTTTCACGTTTTGCAAGGAATTTAGTAAGCTCTCTATCCGTTGACACGGCACCACAATATGGTTTGAAACATCCCGCTTTTATTTAAGTCAAGGTATAAAATTAGGAATCAAAATTACGATTCGCGCGCTCTACGTGATATTCCCTTTCTATTGATACCTCATTCGTTAAAATTCGTCATTCCTGAGAACCGGAAAAAGGATCTCCATTTACAGCTGCAGTGCAGTGGTTGTATTAGTTCTCCTGAAAGTCCCTTTTATCATTGACTTTAGTAAATTTAACCAGTTTTTTCCCATAGGAAATTTTTTTCTACTTTACGATGGTGTACTTCGAATTTAATTATCTTCTAATACTATTAAGATAATTGAATTCTAAATACACCATTGTAAAGTAGAAAGAATTTCCTATGGGAAAACACTGATTTTTAGGGAAAAGACTAATTTACTGAAGTCAATGATAGAAGGACCTTTCAGGAGTCTTGGTCTTGCAAACTCAGTCTTGGTCTAGGTTTTGGTCTTGCACAAGAGTCTCGCAACACCCTTGCAGTTACCTATTAGCACATTACTGTAATTTTTTTTTATAGGAGAAACCTAACAAAGCCTGAAAGAAAAATTAGAAGAGTTAAATGCAAAAGTATATTGGTTATAGTAATTCTTTGCATATAGTAATAAAAATTGCCAAGTATTAGTAACTATTTTGCCTTAATTAATATTCACAATAAAGATTTTTTTTACCAGTCTTGGTCTTGATCTTGGTCTTGCCTGTCCGATTTTGGGCAACTCTAGTTACAACTGCAGTGCAGTGGCCGTATTAATTCTCCTGAATTTTTTTTTTAAATTTTTTCTACTTTACTATGGTATACTTAGAGTTTAATTATCATTAATAGTTTTTTTTACCAGTTCCTTCTTATTCAATAAAAAACGTTACCACTTCAATTAAGGAAGACACAGAATTGATCTTAACTCCCTTTCCAGATTGATCTCGAATCTCCCTCCAGAGTTGGGCCATTAAGGACTAAGAGACCCAGTATATAAATACATATATTATGATTTTATTTAATTATTTATATATATTTAATATTCTTATTTGGAAAACCCCGGCTGTATGTTCCTCTTGGTGAAGTTTTTCCTTTAGAAAGCGATGGCTGAACCGAGACCTCGAACTCCGACCCGGTGGCCAGTTATGCAAGAGGATCCTCCACTATGCGACTCAAATACTAATGGACGAACTTATGACACCTCGCCTCATAGTCAAGGGCAGCCTTTGCTTTCCCCTTGGCCGGGATGCTTTCGTTTCCATCCGAAAATAGACCGGGCGGAGGAATTCGGTTTTCCCTTCCCTACCGTTATACACAACGTGATTCAGGGAAGAGGTGCGATACAATTCTGACCTCGTTCTTAACAGCAGGCTGTATCACAAAAGAAGAAAAAAAATTGTGCAAAAATCATACTAAATAAAAATAATGATGAAGTGGTCATTGATGAGATAATAATACACTAATTAAAACGTTTTACTATTATTTGGTTGACCAGAAATCAATACAGGTTAATTGTTTTAAAATAAAATTTTATATCTTTATTTGCCGATGACACGTGTATCCTATCAGTTAATAACGATCCATCTATTGCATCCCAAACTCTTCAATCACACATCACAAGTCTTGAAAAACGGTATCAAAACTGGAGGATTAAAATAAATTCCAATAAATCATATCAAATTACCCTCACTCTTCGTCGTAAACCTATGACTTCCTGACCTACAGTATCCTTCAACAGTAGCCCTCTTATCCCTTTCGAATAAATACGATACCTTAGGACTCCACCTTGATAAACGACTCACTTGGAACCTCTATACCAGACTGAAACGACTAGAAACCGCCCGACGTTTTGACTACTGCAGCACTTATCAATTACAAACGACTCATATATATGACAATAATAAGACCTATTTGGACTTACGAAGCTTTGGGGCTCCAGTAAACCATCGAATTCCTCTCTTATCCAATCCTTAAAATCCAAAACCCTTAATGCTCCCTACTTTGTCCCAAATAAAATCATCCACAATGACCTTAATGTACCATATGTTTCCGATTTAGCTCAATCCAGATACCTGTCCTTCCATAATAAATTTCTGAACCAACCCTCTCGTTTCTAACCTTGCTTCCTCTTCAATTCCTGATAATCCTCCGAGGCGTCTGAAAAGAAGATGGCCCCGTGACCTCCTAATGTAGACATATCATTAGGGTGCTAGGCGTATCATTGGATAGTTTCTCAACAAGTGTTTTGACGTAATTATATCCAAATGTTTAAATTTACTAAATTTATTTCTTTTATACAGTTGTAAATATCATTAAGAAATTAAAAAAAAAATGACAAGATGGACATGAACTAGAAAACTAATTTTACTGAAGGTAGAAAATTTGATAGAATTTGGAAAATAGCATATTTTTTTCATGGACCTATGTGCTAGAGGATCGATATATATATATATATATATATTGATATTCAAATTTCAAAAAGACAGAAGTTTCATTTCTGTTTCAGCTAACAAGTACAGCTCAAAGTTCACAAGCTTCTTTAGCTTTCCATTCGCGTTGAGTTGATCGACGATGTTCAATTTGCTAACTGGGAGTTTCTCTGCGAGTTCTCGAACAGTTTTTCTGGAATTTTCTTGGAATGCTGTAAAATATCTTCAACAAGGAAAGAAGTGTCCACGACTGTCTTTATCTTATAGGTTGCATCTTCCCTCAAGAAATATTGTAAACCATCATTAAATGGTTGACTTACTTACACTGCTATAGTTTGATAAGAATTCTTTTTGATAGTGTCAGATAAGTTTTTGTTTACAATTGAGATATCGATTCATTCGTTGAATTTGAATTGTTAACTATTTTTATGGATGATTATATATTTTGAGCTGTAATTAAAAAAAATTGTTTTTTTATAATATTACTTAATTGATCGAGCATTTTTTATCATCCGAATGTTGGCGGGTATCTTGTTATTATAAAATTATTAATTCACAAATAAATCAATTTTACATTTATCATCACAATTAATTTTTTATTTAAATGAAATAAAAATATAATAGACATAAATTTATTATACACAAATTTTAAATCATAAAACAACCGGATTTTGGTCGAAATACTTTTTTATAATACTTGATAATACACTTGGGATTTTTCTTACTATACCTAACGTATTGCTTTTGTGCGGATTATAGAAAAATGTTACCTTTCATTATATCTTTATTATTTATTAATTTATGACAATTTTATATAAACAAATACACTTTGAATATTATAATTAATAAAATTAACTATTTAATTAAATTCATATTTTACCAGAAGGCATTAGTGTGATAAGACTGTCCTTGCTGGTGACGAATTCTGTAGCAGTGCGCCTTACGTAACGGCAATACTGAGCGGTTTCTATTTTTAGTCTTATCCTTCACTTCATTTGAATTTTCAAGCAATTATTGTCTCTCAATTTGAATTTAGCTTCATGTATTTTTTATTGGATTTCATTAATCCATTTGTATGAAAAATGTCTGTTGGGTAAAAATTGTATCGTTCAGTTTCAAAAACCCTCCAGAACATAACATGTCGACGCTTAACTTCCACAGCTGTTGCAAGTGAAAAAATTATAGTTTGAAGTAAAAAAAATATATCCTTAATTCCTTGTTCATTAACTGTTTTTTGGTTCTTAGTATGATGGTTTATTTGTATGTGTATTTAATTAATTAATTTAACAGGGCTTGAAACGGGGGAGAAAAAAAACATTTTTTTTTTTTTTTGTTTCGGTACCGACGAATTTCAGTTATTTTGTAAGCAGAACTTTTTTCCTTGCAACTTTTCAAATAAAGGTTTGTTACAGAATTTAATTAAAAAAAAACATTATTTTATAGTTCTGTCGATTTCGCATAAAATTCGATCTAAAAAACGACCTTTATGCTTAGCTATTCTAAAAAACGATACATTAGAAACATGTGTAATTAATTTAAGACAAATTTTAATTCTAATCCAAGTCCAGTCTAATTCCTGTTTATTTTTCATGTAGCGAAACTATTTTTAAGGACTTGAATAAATACAAGTTAAATTTTACAATAAAACTGCAACTTTATTATAAAAATGTTTCTTAGAACGCTTATTTTAGGAAGTTTTTACAGAAACTATTAAATTGGAACTTATTTTGAAGCTCCACAAACGTTTCAACCCCTAGGGTTTCATGTTCACTTGAAACATTTGTGTAGTCCGAGATTTCGATTTTTTCAAAAATTGTAAAGTTGTACATTTTATTAACTTAGTTAGAGATATATTTTTGTTAACGGTTCTTTAAAAAAAAATTTAGGAATTATTTATTTATAACAAAATTATTTTATTTTTTATTAAAATCCTATACATCTCCCTAATTTATTTTTAGGTTTTATCTTATTTAAAGTCATCCTTAAAATTTGGTTTAGTGAGGTCTTCCTATTATTGTTTTTTGTTTTATTCTTAATAGTTTTATGTTTCGGATTTTTTTGCCATTTTCAAAAGATGTAAATTAATAATGATTTTATTTCTATGTCATTGTAGAATGTTGCATACATTATTATTTATTATTATTAATAATAATAAACTATTTTCTCTTGTAAAATAATGTTCATTATGCATAATAATAAATATACATTAATTAATTTCATGGTTTTTTAAATATAATTTTAACCAAATAAAATCAGTAAAAATATGAACTTAATTTCAAAACCACTCATTTTTTCTATTTGTTAGCATTTTTACCTCATTGAAAAATTATTGAAATTTTGAAATACTTCTTCAGAATCGGATCAGGTGATAAGATATAAAATTTTAGCCCTGTCATGTACACAAGTACTTAACTGTGACATCCTATTTCTTATTTAAATTGAATTTTTTTTTTCATATATAATTCACAATAAAATCGTTTTTTTCCTGGAAGAATATTAATAAGTGTTTACATCTATATAAAGGAATAATCCCTCAAACATAAATATAACATGAAACCATCCTGCCCTTCTTCATGGAGCGCCGATGTTATGAAATATATGGACAGCCTCAACTTCAATTAAGCTCATTCAGTTTCAGATCGGAGTGCTGAGACGTATTGTGGGACTTACATCATTACAGAGGAAAAAAAAACAGACTAACTCCATAAGACTTTTGAACTGCCGACTGTAACAGACTATAACAAGAAGGCACCTCAATTTTTTTAAAGCTTGCAATACAGAGGCTTACTCACTTTTTAAGACACTAATTCCGACGGAACGAACACAGAGGTGGTAAACGCTTTCAAGAAGCCTCAGATTTGACTACTCTGAGGACTACTGATAAACTGGACTGACAAAATACAACTTGTGAGCCACATCACTACTCTAACGACTCAGCACGTAACGATTTTTAAATCCCTTAAACTCCTCATAACGCCCTAAAAATGCAGTACAAGGGACTTCATTAGATAAAGAAAAATGTGAAAACCCCAACCTATGATCTTTGGAGAAAAAAAAAAACCAAGGAAAATAAAGCATCCATTATTTTTCGGAAATCCAATATTTGTATAATTTTCTTTTGAAATAATGGACCTTGCATATTTTCCACAGCCTTAACAAGCCTTCTCCACCTCTATCTATTTTGGGGTATTTCTTTCCAGTTATCTGCATACAGCTTTTTTTCATCTTTGTTGATTCGATCTATTTGGTTTTGACTTTCACTTGATTTCTTGCCTACTATTGGTCATATTTTGTGTATTTTTTATTCTCTACGTATTGTATGAACATATGATATTTAAAATATAAGATGATGTGGACGTTATTGGAGTAAATTGGTTGGATTTGACCGTGGCTGTGGCCCGCTGTGGAGATAGGGAACCATATCTCTTCGGTTACGCAACCCCAATTACCAACAGCTTTATCACGCATTATAAAGACGTAATGCAGAGATAAATTGTTTTCAAAGCGGAACAAAAAAATAGTGTCCGGACACTAAGGACACTAATAATTTTTGGAGGAAATTTTCTTGGAAAAATTTGAATTTTAACTTATTCAGTGTCTTAGGCTGAGGACGACCTTGGGCACATATTTCGTCAGTACGATTTTTCCGCTCGTACAGCTTTAGGCGAAACTAAAACGCGAAAGAAGCCATCTATGGTTGAATGAGTAGGAACTAAAAGGTAAATATAGGTTATATATGTATAAATATATTTATATATATTGTGGGTTGATGGTTGACTGTTGTGAATAATGAAGAGAAGGATGGTTGGGGCGATCAGTCAGAAATAAAAAGACAAAAATAAATAATAATATTTATTTTAACATTTGCCGACGTTTCGACCTGAAGTTCAGGCCTACATCACGGCTGTTCCAAGAGATTGCTG